CTGGGTACGATTTTCAGTCATCCAGGTCATAGTCCTTCTAAAAAAGTAAAAAATAAAATAAAATCCAGTGGACTTTGTTTCTAAGTTTAAAGGCATTTTGCTTCCCATCCAGGAAGCTTTTTCAATTCAAAATGTGAGAATTAGTGTTGAGTTTGAAGCTTTATGTAGTAGTTGTTTTGGCCTAGAAAGCATGCAAATAGAACCAGATGAATGGGTCCACCCCTTAGAAATGGGGAGCCTTTTTATTAGCCTGCAATACCTGATACTAGTCTATGCCTCTGAAAGGGGGTCATTAGGGGCAATTGTTTTCCTAGCTACCCGGTCGAGATGTTTTGTCCCGTGCATGAAGTGGGTATTGAAATGATAGTGGGAAGGAATCAACTCCATTGCTGCAACAATTGCCCCTAAGGACAATAGACCAGTAACTAGGAAACAACAACAATGATACAAAATGGAAAAGACACTAATCATTTGTGCAAGTGCACTCTCACAAACAACTACAGGTGCTTGGTTCCAGGTACTTCATACAAAGATCCACTTCCATACAAAAAGCCCATATTCTTATCTTCAGCTACCACAGTATACATGTCAGATTAGATAATACTACTTATACTTCAGAGATATTATCAAAGTGCCACATTATTATATCTCTTATACTATATTTGTTGTGTTGTTCTTTTATTATTAAGACCTTTTATTATTGTCTCCTATTATCTCCTTTTTATTTAATCTTTTCTCCTTTTTCCTCTTTTTCCTTTCCTGTTTTACTTACATTGCAGTGTCCGTGTTATCTGTAATACTCCCTGCATAATCATAATAAAGGTATTTATATGCATAAATCAGGCGGAACACTATCACAAGGTAAAATCTGTTTGGCTCTTTTTTGGCATCAAGACAATTTTATTCGTATTGCCACATCGCCAGACAGGAGACAAGGAAAAGTGTGCCCAAACTTAAATCTGTTGCTTTTCTTTAACATTTAGATGTGTTCCTTTCCCTTCACACTATCATGGTTTTATTCAGCTTTCTGACTCACATGCAAGAAGGACTCTCAGGAGAAAACAGTGATGGGAATAAATTATATTTTTCTTACCCAAGAAAATATGAATTTATGGGTGATCCAATGGAGAAGTGGCAAGGGGAAAGAGCAGAAGTTTGTTGAAGAAGAAGTTAGGATACATAAGCAGATCCAGGATTGTGGGTGGTTTTATGGTGGAGACAGAGTTTACAGATCCAGGCTAAGTAGAAGATGTGGAGGATGGTGAAGTAATCCAGGTTACACTGTGGGATGACTGAATCTATCTTTGCTCTCTTCTAATTTATTTAGAAGTACTGCAATCACACATTTTCTCTTACTCCCAACTTTGTGGTTGGCTGCAAATTTAGCATGCCTTCCCTGGAAATGCCTTTCCAAATTACTCTTTTTATTTTTTGAGATCCTTAAAATCCCGCACTCATAATGTAAGCAAATTATCCGCTCCATTCTTCTTTGAATTCTCTGTTCTCATCAGGTATCTTCCTTTTTTCCCTGTGGGCTCCATGCCCCGAGACACACCCATTGCTTTGTTGCCTGGCACCGCACCACGATGTGTTGCAGGCTATGACCACTGATTTTTATGGCTATGAAGCAAATTTTCATTAAAAAGAAATGTTTACATTTATTGTTTACATTTATTTATTATACACATGTTTACAGCATTGGAAAACATATTGAATGTTTGTTTGACCTCCTCCACACCATATTAAAATAAAAAAAGTGAAAAAATAAATAAATAATATTAATTAATTATTAAATAAATAAAATTTTTTAAAAGCTCCAGGGAGGCGCTAAAAAACTGCATGCGGCTCTAAAGCCGCGGGTTCCCGACCCCTAACCTAGAACCACCAGAGGGGTTCATTTTGATCATCTGGGGTTTGTCTCACGAAGAAGGTTTAACAAACTCAGATTCAAACAGCTCTAAATTGATCTAGCCTAAAGTCGGGAACTATGAGTTTTCAGTTTCACAACAGCTTCTATGAATTAGTTCAATCAACCCTAAGTAGATAGACTCAGAGTTAAGCGAGTGTGTGACAAGTTTAAAAAGCCAACAGGAAGTGCCTATTTTACCCCACTGGAGCTAGATATTTTTACAAGAAATAAAAAAAAAGAGGAGAATGTGTTTAAAAGACAAAGAAACAGAGCTACGGCTACAAAGGAGAAGACGATGGTGAAGGGGAAGATTGTTGCTCGAGATAATGCGTAGGTTTATATGAAGTGGACTATGGCAGGCTATTTTTTACATTTATTAAAAGCACTCTCCTCTCTGTAATTTAATTTGCAGATAACTAAAATAAGATTCTTCCTGATCAAAATCACACTCCTAGACTGTACTGTTTATTATAACATATTTTCTAAAGTACATTTTTCTGCAGAAACTAAATTTCAAAAAAGCAACAAAAAAAAAAACTAAATTATAGTTGTAAGAATTAAGTTTTATATATCTAGAAATGTTTACACATTATAAATGGCTGTTTTGACATTTATCAGCTTGACTGAATATGTATTTATGATATCTGAAACACATTTCTTCATAATTAAAATAATACACATGCCAACCAATTACAAAAATAGTATGGAGTCCTGAAATTAATTTCCTGACATTCAGAATGTTTGTTCTAGATGTGAAGAATGTAATTTTGTTTGAAATTGACATTTTCAAAAGGATTTTTTATTTTTTTAGATATCAGGAATAAATATTCAGTAAAACTAATACATATCAAAATGTCTTGCAATAGACTTGTTTTGACCATGATAATATCACAGGGTTATTTCTTGAAGGGAATGGATCAATGTATTCTATTTAGCTGAAATCACCTGTCAGAATGTAAAGATGAAGAATAAAAACATTCTAATAGATGGAACCTCATCGTCTCATGGGTTCCTCCTCAGATTTTGTCTTCTTCTTTCTTTCTTACTTCTTTCTTTCAAGGAAGTATTCTTCTAACCTTAGGGCCACGAAAAGTTTTAAGGGTTAAGTTTTAAGCACAAAGTACGGTGAGAATTAACATCTAATTTGTAAATATTCCTAATAAAATAGAAAAAAACGTAACTTTAATATAATTACCTAGATGTTTAATTTGATTTCAGTTATTTAATTTATCAGTAGTGTTTCGAGGTACATGCATCTTGTTCTGTTTTAAAAAAAAAAAAAAAAGCTTTTATAAGGTTAATTACTGTTCTTGAGAAGCTTCTACTTCAGAAATTGTGAAGAGAAAATACCCCCCCCCCCCAAAAAAAAACATTTAAAAAAGTCCTAAACAGATTATCTTCCATCTCTGAGTTTAATTGTTTGTAATAATTGTTCGTAACTTTCTTTTCAATTCAAGTTTAAAACAATTGTATTTCCATCTTCTTGTTGATATCACTGAACACTAAATTCAATCGGAAAAACTCACACGGAAAGAAAAAGACAATTAGAAAAATTTTATTGATACAATTTCTTTAGTCTTTGGTGCTCACAAAACATTAGCACTAAATTTTGTTTTGAGGTGAACAGGAGAAAAGAATAGGGCTGTTTACCCCCCAGGCCTGAAACTGGTGGTGGAGTGGAGATAGATGAAGTTGGTCAGTCCATAGACTGCTGGTTGGTGAGATGGTGTGCTTGAGCTGTATGGAGAAATCCAGTGGATTGCGTGAGCTGATGCTAGTGCTTCACTCAGGGACCTGGAAGATGGAAGTCCAGCTTGGATAACACATGTTGCATGAACCTGTCCTTGATAAGCAAGCATGAAGTGACAGTGAAAAGGAAAAACTCCACATTGGGAGGAAACCTCTGGCAGAACCAGGCTCAACATGGCGGTCTTCTGCTGGACCGGTTGAGATGAGACAGGGAACGCAGTAAGAGTAGGGGAGGAATGACACTCAGATGAAGCTTTAGCTACGATGGTGGAGAAGCGGCTGGAGGTGGGTTGAATCGGGGTCATCTGAATCGAAGTCAGGCATAGTGCAACCACTGCCTGCGCTTTGGGTAGCAGACTGAATTGTGGATTGGAGACATTTTAAGATAACCTCTGGAAGCTGATTGTGCTTTCGTGGAGGTGTGATTCAAAGCAGATTTGCTTGTGTCGGAGGCGGATGAGGATAACTTATCAGTTTCTTCAGGTAAACTTCCGCCAAGGCTTCGTGACAACAAATCTGAAATTGCTTACCATGGTCGAAGGGATTGCTTATTGTATTTTGTTACTTCTTTTTTGTGCATTTAATGTTTAACATATAAGTTAATGCAGGGTTTTGAGACAGGCTGTGGGGCACTAATAACCCGAGAGTGAAAAACTAAAGGTTACAATCCAGCTTCTTTAGTTTTATTGGGGGGGTTTCTGTTTCAGCACTCCTCATTTAAAAAAAAAATGTAAAAGTGAAAAACTAAAACTATTTCGGTATATATTTCCTTAGTGCTAAATCTTTTTGACAAATTGTGTTCTCAACAATTATATTGTCACAAACTCATATTGAAAGTATTGGGGGGGGGGGAATGTGACCCAGCTGGTTTGAGAGTTGATTTAAAATCCTTAGACCTCTTTAAAGTAGACTTATAAATGATCTTCATGAAAGTCTCATTCAGCTCTGGATCTACCATCTTAGTGTAGAACATACCAAACTACACATTTAAGGTTTAAAGAAATGAGCTATGCTCAACTTTGTCTTGGTCTATCACATGAAATCCCAATAAACGCATTGTATTCTGTCTAATATATTAAATTTTGAAAAACTAATGAAATATAACCAAGTTTCCAGTGTTGTTCTGCAGAATGTGATCCTTCAGAGAAGCTATTTGTATTAGCAGGAGGCAGTCATACATGTGTGTCTACAAGTCGGAAGCTTGCTTGTTGTCATAGAAGTCAATTCATGGACAGAGTTGAACTAACTTTGACTCCTTTTGTGCAGATGAAAGAAAAGATTCACTCACTGGGTGGCTCTGACCTTTTTTATTATTATTTCTACTCCCTCTCTCCCCCTCTAGGGAACCTCTCCAAAACCTGCACAACAGATGGATGGACAGAGATGCATCCTATTGACATCGCTGTGAACTGTGGATACAATCTCAACAGCACCAGTGATGATGTGAGTAAGCTGCCATCATCTATAGGTTGCTCTTGAAGTCCTGCGGCGAATGAATGCAACAGTGAGGCAGGGGAGCATGTCAAGAGCCAGTGGGCAGAAAGAATTCAATGAGAGCATCTTTCCTTTGGTCTGTGGGCCATTGTTGTTAGGTCTATCAGCTAGATTGCTGTATTGACTGCTGGACTCTTGGCTCTGGTTTTTATCTCATATCTGCTTTCATTTCTATCTTTCTGTCAGGGTGCCTGTCTTTAAAGGGAAAGCAAACATATTTTCAGTGTGACAATGAATACATTTGTATCCTAGAGCTGAATTTGACTCAACTACATGGGAGTGTGTGAGTTTGTTTTAGATTTCTGTGTCGGTTTTGAAGAAAAAATCCTTTAAACTAAACAATTCATGATGTTTAGGAGAAAATATGCTGCCAGCATTAAATATGAATAAAACTCCAAGTCAACACTGCTGATTGTTCGCCGAAGCGTTGCACCCTTAAAACCTTACACTGATATGACCCGGTCAGTCAGAAAGTATGTCATTGGGCAAACGAGACATTAGTCAACAATGCTTCCAAGAGGAAGAGAGGTTAGAAAAGGAAGATATACATTATACTTTGCCTTCCTACACTGGAAAAACAATCTACAAATAAGTAAAAATGTCTTAAATTATGTGTATTTGCCCTTTATTTGAGTAAGTAAATGAGATATTTTGCCAATTGTATGAGTATTTTTACTCTTAAAATAAGATAATTAGATAATATACACTTGAAATAAGACAATGCAATTGTGTTTTCTTATTTTAAATGTAAATTTTCTTGTTCCATTTGCAAAATGTCTCTTTTACCTCCTCAATCCAGTGTAAGGTTTGGTTAAGTGCAAAAAAGGCTAATTCTGTCAGTGTTGATGAAGGTGGGGCAGTACGTGGAGTGGAAGAGCATTACACGGCGGTAAAAAGCTTTCTTGGAGTCGCTCTCTGAGTCAACCAGAGTCTCATTAGTATGCCACATAGGAATTCAGCAGGGTTCGAGCGAGTCGGGGACTCTAAAAGGAATTTGATGTCCATTTCTCTGCATAGTTGATGTCCTTGTGTATCACAGGATGCAGAGCTTCTGATCTCATTTTCGTTTGAAGTAAAATATAAAGAATAATGCCACTAACACACAAGGAATGAAGACAACTCTAAGGCTAAGATTTAACCTTTACACCAATAGCAGTACTGAACCTATAGCTGAAAGAAAGACACAGAGCTGCTAACTTCAGAAAAGCAGTAATCCCTGTAATTATATTCTAAATGACAAGAAATGAACCAGATACACGTAGTAATAAATATCTGACTGATTTATATGCAGTGTTTCATTAATGCATGGATATACTTCAAATTCTTTTCACGTGTTTTGGTGAAAGTTGTGAATTGAAAGTAAGTGTGACATGCATTAAAATTCAGGCTCTGTGAGTCAATACTAGTTTTAACTGCTGTCTACTCTTAAAGTCAATGAGAGACTTCTAGTACAGGTAATTATCCGCTCATATACAGTATGACTGACTCATATTCCCCTTGTCTTATGGATGAAACAGTCCAAACTTGACTATTGCTTGATGAAGAGTTATTGATCATTTTGAAACATGTTCATTGCAAAATGGCTTAGACTAGTTTTTTATTAGGTCTGTTATAGTGTTCCTCAGTTAGTGTGCCTTCACTTCTATCCAAAATAGCTAAAGATTATAGGAAAGGGTTTGAGAAAATCTATTTTTTAAGATTTGCCACAGATTCTTACCTGGGTTTTGGTCTGGACTGTGTTTCGGCTTTTCTAACAGCTAAAAAAGCTTTGATCTAAACCGCTTGTAGCTGTAGTATGTTTGGGGTCGTCGCACTGCTGGAGGACAAACATTAGAACCAAGTCTTATACAGGCGTTTAGAGCTTCTTCCAGGATTGCTCTGTATAAATTCCATGCATCTTCACTGCCACTCTTCAAAAAATACCCTGTTATGTTGAAGAAAAGCATACAAGGTCCTGCAATAACTTGTATTTAAACTGATTGGCTACAGTTTTATTCCATCCATAAGTAATTTTAAGTTGAAGATTTCTCATCTCTCCTGCACAAATTATTTATTTGCTTATGAATCTGTTGTGAATTGTTATTCTTTTGCGAATAAAAAAGATCAAATTAATTGCCATTACATTTTTAGAGTTGTCAAATAAAAGGAACTCATGTCAGAATGTTATTTGTAAAAAAAACATTCAAAGCTAAATTTTCCTCCACCTCCAAATTACATGTTTTTAGTGTTTGTTTATTTCGCAAAATTGAAACTAATTTGTGGTGTTTTGACAAAATGTGAAAATGTTAAAAGTGTTATTACCAATACACTTTGACAGGAAATAGAACATAACAGAAAAATAAACATCCTCATGAAACAGCATTATCATTTTTGTTGGAATGTGGTATAAAAAGGAAAACTGAATGTCAATTATGCTATATGTGGAGATAGATTTATGTTGCTTTCTTGCTCAGAGGAGAAGCAGGATTTTCATGGTTGATAATATGCAGCCTTGCACACATAAACAGTGTTTTCTGATGTCTCTCTGGATGGATTTCCTGCCTGGTATTTATTTTGAGCTGTCAATTTAACAATCATCTCTCCATCTGAAAGGCTTTTTTTTGTCAGGTGTGTTGCACACTTGGCTACTTGCATTTGAATAAAGTACTCTGGGTAAAAATGCTCTTTAGATATGAAAGGTTGCAGACCTCTGATACAGACTTTAAATATTTAGCATTATGTGACTATTTTTTTTTCTCAATTTCTTGTCATTTTTAGGGGAAATTTTTCTGGCAGGTGAAGGTTGGCTACACCATTGGTCACAGTGTTTCGCTCATCTCTCTAACTACAGCAATTGTGGTCCTCTGCATCTTTAGGTAGGTAACTCTATCAGTAATTTTGGTTTTGCAGAATTCTCAAATTTATCATTGCTTTGAGTAAAACATGAGGACACTGTTAATAAGTAAAGCTTTGAAATGCAGGGACCAGACTGCATAATTGGGTTCCAGCTGCTAATGAAAAAAAAAGTATGAATCTGCTTTTAATTTGCAGAAGAACCTGGCTGTTATAGGTTGTATGCTATTACAAGTAACATTCATTGTGGAATACAACATGAAAACCAACTGTTATGTTTTGATTGAGAAAGGCTCTTTAATTAGCATTACAAATAGAAAAGTATTTTTCCAATGACCTATGATCTATTTACTCAAACTTAACATCCTTAACAGGGAAGTTCAATGACTAGTTCCTTAATTTACAAGGGTCTCAAACAATGAGGGAGGTTCAGTTTAAACACTTAACTTCACCCACAGGTGATAGTGATTTTCTATATATTTATTTTCCCCTGATAAATTCATGCTGATAGACATCTAGAAACTGCCTCATGAAGCAGACCTTATTCTGGGAAGAATTATTGGTGTTTAGAGATGTGCAATCTTGTTTCCCAGGTGGTGATAGAAATAAAACAATACTGTTCTGAGGTACTTCAGAAAAGCTGTTTGTGCGATGTTAAAGCTTGTTAAGAAATCTAACAAAATAATAATAATAATAATAATGAAAATGCAGACCAGTTTTGTGATGTTTAGGAAATGTCATATACCAGAACAGTAACACTGGTGCATTGGGAAAGTTATACAGAGAAAACCTACAGCAAAGAAAAAAAAACTTTCCTCTTGACCACAAGAAACACATAATACCAACAGATTAGCATATTGCACTCATAAGAGGCAGACAAAACGAACATCCAGTGTGTATCATTGGTTTCTGTCTGCTGCAGATAGCCTGAGTTACTAAAGTACACTGGATCAAAACACATAGCAAAAAACAGAAACACAGAAGTCAACCATCAGGAGTGTGCAGTTAATGTAAAATCTCAACAACAACAGAAGTCAACAGTGTGAGACTAAGATAAGGTATAATTAACCTGCAGTTGTGCCTGTAGGAATTAAATGAATGACTTGCTTGTCACAAATGCATGTTTATTATTGGGAAAAACTAGCTGCAGAAAAATATATATTGCATAAAAACACAGACAATATAAACATCTGAAAAATGTCATCCACCCCTAAAAAGAATTTGTCAAAAAAAAGGTTGCCACGCTATAAATCATACATTCTTACAAAGCTAACACTTTGATGCAGTATAAGCTACATTATTATTATTATTATTATTATTATTATTATTTGAAGGTTATAATCAACCTTCAATTTTAATGTATGATTTTATAATGTTATTGTCAGGTGATGTGGAGGTTTCTAGAGGACCCAGGTGGAGAGACGGAAGCTGAGATGGTTACTTGCAGATTTAATGCAAGATTTAAGGCAACAGAAGCAAAGATCAAACACAAAATGTGGAAAACACAAATGTGGCATCAGGAAAAACACACATGACGAGAAATCAGCAAACAGAGACTGAAGTGGAGGAGTATATATGTCAAACAGAACAAAAAAAGGAGTAGCAACAGATTGGGAGCAGGTGTGGACACAATGATCTAGAAGGGAGCTAGGGGAAGGAGACTGACACAAGAGGACAACAGAGAGTAAACAAGAACTCAAATAGAACCAAAAAACAACACAAAATAAAAATGAATTAGAAAATATAGAAAAACTTAAATCAAAGTATAACTGAAAGCTCTAAATAAAACTTAAACTGAACCAGAAAGTGCAGAATCGTGACAGTTATTTAAAAAAAAAAAATTAATAGGCCCCAACATAAGAACCGCAATGTTACTTTATATTGAATCTTGAAAATTTTACACCCTATGAAACTCTCACTTTTTAAATAATTCATGGATATAAACAGGCAACATGTTATTTTTAAAGGGGTCAAAGAATGCAAAACTTCAAAAGTTTACATGTCATAGATGAATAACGATAGTTCTGTGGGTGAAATGGACGTATAGAGAAGTTCAACCCCATTGACACCTCCTTTCTCTGAAAATTTTACAATTCTAAACTTCCACCATAAAACAGGTGAATCCAAAGGAAGCCCCGAGTTGTCGTAAACTGTGGCATGGTGCCTTATTTGGTCCTGGTCTATACTTTTTCGCCCCGAAACTTACATACAGACCAGCCCAAGGGTTCACTAGCCCAAGAACATGAATAGAGGTTGCGAAGATGTAAGACACTAGTTTAGCTGTTTAGTCTACAGTTGGGTTTACTTCTACAAGAATTGCAAAGCAGGCAGTTTCTCTATTGAAAATGAGCCAGAACCACGGGCTTTAATGCAGTGTTCCAGGCTGCACGGAGGAAGGGGAATTTTTCAAAGTCTTTCCAAGAATCTGAAGACACGACATGCATAGATTATGTTTGTCTATCAGAAGATCCCTGCAAAGTTTGATGCTCAGCTGGTCATTTGCTCTAAGCTCTCAGCAGCTTCACTCGTTGTAAACCAACCAATCAGCACACAGCTCATCTAAATATTCATGATCATACCATAAAAGGAAGAAAACCTGTCGTTTCATTTTAGGGCTTGCATTAGGGCTCATAGAACAGCAAATATGCCATTTTCAGCCCAACCAATGTTACACATTCATTAGGAGACCTTAAGGACCAACACCAAATACCCTATATAATCATTCTATGACCCCTTTAATGTAATACATTTATTGTGCAATTTTTAATCAAATCAAATCCCTACATTTTAAATCTTTTAGCGGAATGAAACTTTGTATAGTCCCTGTATGTTCCTTTATAAACAAGTCTGATTGCTCTTCTTTTAATAATATTAATTAGATCCAGATTAGTTTGATACGTTTCCCCACACCTCCAGACAATAGATCATATAAAGGAGAACCAGAGAGCAATACAGAAGATGTTCATATAGGAAATTATTGCCAGTGATTTACATATCTTTGCTTTATTATACTTTATGTGAGATTTCCATTATGCTTATTTATATAGTCATTCCAAGAAATGTAACTTAATTCACTTGTTTGTTCTATCTCAGTGCTGTTTATTATCAAGATTCTTATGAGAGAAAAAAAGACATCTTTTCTGAGGAGTTAGAAAGCTTCTCATATTTCACCACTAATTGTTTAATCTCTCAAGCTGTTATATTGTAATCAGAAGTTGATGTCACCCTAAAGAATCAAAAGTTTTAAAAATGTTTAGTCATTTGAAAATGAACCTCTTTTGTGTGTTTTTTTTTTTTAAAGAGAACCATGTAAAGCACTTGATGTGCTCTGAAAAGTATCCAATCAGTCAGCATCTAAATGAAGTGGGAGCTTTCAGTTAGATTTATTTCACTCTGTAATTCTGCTATTAACGCCAAGAGCTCTGGATAATTAGATGGCATTAATTAAATTGTCAGCATGTCTCTTTTCCTCGATCTGTATTCTTGTCTCTCTTCTCTGTTTGTCCCAGAAAACTCCACTGCACAAGGAACTACATCCACATGCATTTGTTTGTGTCATTTATCCTGAAGGCCATTGCTGTGTTCATCAAGGACGTGGTTCTCTACGAGTTTGGTGAGGTGGACAACTGCTCCCCAGGCTCTGTGAGTTTGGTTACTCATTTATGTTTTTGTGCATTTGTTTGTTTTTGGAAAAAAAAAATCAAAATGAAAACCCCTAAAACTTACAAACTATGTGCTGATTTTTATAATGAGTAGTAGGGTAGGTGGATCAATAAAACTAAGATTCAATGTAAACAATACTAGTTTTTATTTATCACCTGTCACACTTGGTGTACCAATGAGTTTCATGCCTAGATCATAGGTTTTAATAGCTTCTGATTCCTTATTATAATCTATAATCTATAATTTGAGCATTAAATAAATGGCCTAGAATATTTTTTGAAATAAACCAAGACAACATTGGTCACAAAGTAAGTTTTACAGAAAAGAAAAATGTTTGTGTCACTCTGAAAAAGTTGACTGAGTGCTGAGTGGGGATTTTTGTGTTCTCCACAAGGGCCATGTCTTAAAGTTGCAGGACATCGGCCCCTGCAAGGTATATGCTGTTAGTAGAGTACAATTTAAATGTCCAATCATTTCAAATATCAATATCTTCTGAATTGCAAATATACATGATAAGATACCAATATGAGGTTATCAGTGTATGATAAAATAAATATCTTTTTTTTTTATGAAAAACAACTTCAACACATTGAATGTAGGACAATATAGTGTAGTAATGAGAGGTTCTGTAAGATGCCTGCTACAGGGATGTTAATACCAGATTTCTGGACAGCATGCATTTTACTATTGGACTGTGGTGTATTTTAACCCTACAGTGTGAGCATATCACTCTGGACTCTGTTGTGTCCATTAAAGGCAAACCAAATCATTTTTTGTTCTTTTTTTTTTGCTGCCTAACTAAGAAGAGCAAATACCAAGTGGAATGCAAAACTGTTCTTTGGTACATTTCTAGTTATCTGTCAACAATCGGTGGTGAGGTTGCTTGAGGACCCAGATGCAGAGACAAGTGAAGCAGGGATGTGTTCTGAAAGGTTTAATTGCAGACCAAAAAGCAGCAGAGGCAGAAATCCAGAAATCCAACTTAAAATATAAAACAAACCAAAATCATGGAGACATCAGGGTAAAGACGAGTCTGAGGAGCCAGGGAGAGACGAGCAGAGTAGACAACACAGCAACAAGAAGGAACCAGCACTAAGTGACTGCAGAGGTGGAGTATTTAAGGACAACCAAACAAAAGGATGGACTGACGAGCTGAATGGGGAGCAGGTGTGGGTGGAACTGGCAAGAGGGAATCCAAGGGAAAAGAAAACAATCACAAGGGGGCAACAGAGAGTAACTAAAGAATGCTTGAAGATCATGGAAAATAAAAACAACTGATAACAGAAAACTGAAAACAGAGTCACAACAAATAAGAACCATAACATTATCTCAGTCTGCACATATATTTCAGCAGATGTTGAAGGTGCATTACCACTAATCTATCATTAATCTGATTTAAAGACTGATTTACTCTGTGCATGTGTGGTCGCAATCTACAGATGATCAGAAATAATACAATAATAGTGTCCTTAATTAACATACTGTTAATGAAACAAGTGCTACCTGTTTATATAAGATATATAAAGCACAAGAGAGAGGAGTTGGAGGAGACCCGTTTCTTGCCAAAATATGATTTTGCATCAAATCAGGAAAAGTTCTAGCTGCCTTATAACTTCATAGTGGGTATTCAAGGTGTTACAGCATGTATGTTGTAAAGTAGCGTCAATGAGCTTGACCTGTCATCCCCTAAACGTGGCACGGAGCCACAGAACAGAGACCCTGATGGCTGCAGTCAGGGGTGAGTTTTATGTCAGTCTAAAAATCTGGCTACCCTATAAGACCTGCCACAGAGTATCCATCAGTATTCACTTAGAACATCCAGTTTAATTTTGAACCTTTCAGGTTGGTGGGATGTAGCTGCTATCTAAGCTTCAAAATGTGATATAGAGATTTGTCGTCACATTAGCTCCATTATATTCCTTTATATTTATTATGCTGATGTCACTGAGGATATGTGTAGGCGTGCAGGACTGCATTTTTACCCCTTCCTGGTGAGTTCACAGTTTGCAGCAGATATCATTGAGTACATCAAAAACATAAATATTAGAGTGAATTGGGCAGCCAATGCAGTCTTTTATGTATATTTGTTGGGGTTTTTTTTGCATGTGTTCTGCATAAACTATCCACATCAGAAGCATGTGACGGAAGAGTTTTTGAATTCATGCTCCAACAAACAATTTGTTCAGATTAGCATACATTAAACTTCTAGAAAGGTTCAGATGCCCCATCTGGGTCTGTTTACCTAATCTTAGCACACCAACTGTGAATCTTTCATACAAACAACATAATCCTTCTTAGATCACGTCTTAGAAGCTTTAATAATCAGTTTATAATGTTTACTGGATGTCCAAGAATAAAACCCTGACAAAAATAAAAGAAGAGATGAGTTGAATACCTATTTGAAGAGCAAATCTTATTATTTTACCTATGTCTTACTTTTCATGAATTAGATTTTTTGGCAGCCAAAACACCTGTGAGATTGAATTTGCGTCAGAGTTGGTGACAATTTTTAAATACAAGGTTTTGCAAACTTTTTTTTTAGTGTAATCCTGCATCTTATTTATGGTAAAGCCTCCCCCCTGCATATTAGAGACACTCCTCTCCTGGTGAATTTTAAAACGCGGCTCAAGACGTACTGTTATTCGCTGGCTTTTACCACTGGCAGGACTTAGTTGTTGTGACCTTGTTTATTTAGCTAAAATAAATTCTTATTATTGCCTTATTTTATATTTTAATGCTGTATTTTGTTTTTTAATTGTGTTTTTTATAAAAAAATTTTGCTATGTTAAGGACTTTTTTTTCACCCGTAGCTGTTTTAAAGCGCCACACAAATAAAGATGATGATGTTGATGATGATCCAAGGTCTTTCAAAAATCTGCGTCATCTGAATATAGAGTTTATGTGAATTTACCTTTTGATTACCTCTGGTTTTGTGTGTGTTGCCAGGTTGGCTGCAAAGCCGTCATTGTGTTCTTTCAATACTGTGTGATGGCCAGTTTCTTCTGGCTGCTTGTGGAAGGCCTCTATCTTCATGCATTGCTAGCCGTCTCTTTCTTCTCTGAGAGGAAATATTTTTGGGCATACATTATGATCGGCTGGGGTGAGAATTGAGTTTTTATATGCTGCTATGGAGTGCCTGCAGAAAGGAAAAGAGAAAATTTTCATGGGAATGAAATCCTATTTCTGATTCTGGTTTTATCTAACTATATATCCATTTGTTGTGCCGCCAGGAGGTCCAGCGATTATCATCACAGCCTGGAGCATCGGTAAAGCATACTACAATGATGTAGGGTGAGAGAAACAACAGGAAGCTGCAAAACCTTTTCTTGCTTTGATTTTTTCATGTTTTTAGTATTGTTTTCTGGCTCAATAGGTGCTGGGACATTATCGAAACCACCGACGTGTTCTGGTGGATTATAAAAACACCCATTTTAGCATCAATCCTAGTAAGTTTACCACCAGTATCTTTTTTTCCATCCATGTCAATTAGTTTTAAACCATGTTTTGTGTTGTTACTCCTGTTACTTGAAAGAAATATGCCCATTACACTTTGTTCTCCTTTATGTCAGCCGAGAAGAGAGGATGGGCCTCATGCAACAACATTATCATATTTTCTCTTACGTTATCTCCTACCATGGGTTCTTACGAATGTGCCACGTCAGATTCAACAAACGTTCTGAACTTTAGTAATTTATAATAATGGATTGTCATAAACCTTGTGCATGAGTTGTCAAGAAATATGAATTTGCATAATTATTGCCCCCATTATTCCCACACTTGTTCATACACAGAGAAGACACTGAAGACAAAGAAATTAAACTTCACCAGTTTGGAGATCACTGAAAGCTGAGCAGTAGAATTAAAGGACCGGTACAGTGAAATGAGTTTAAAAAGCTGTAAATGATGTGGTTGCACTGTTACAGAATTGAAAATAAAATAAAAAATAAAGATAATTTGATCTGAAAACAGTCAATGAATTGAAATTACTATTGGAGGCAAGAGGCTCAACATTGGATGTAAATGCTTAATATGAGTACAGCAGCATTCTGGTAAGTCTCCTTTTAATACGTGTACTCTAGATCTCCAGGACATGTCTGCTAACCGTTCATCACAGTCTCCATCTCTCTCGTATGATGCATTAACTTAAAAATATTGATGACAATCCTAATTTAATAAAGTCAGACAGACCAAAGTCCACACGTTTGACATTTATAATAATAATATTCATAATAACAAAGCCAAGGAGCTGCCATGGAGTGAAATGAATGAAAGTCTTACTATCAGAGGAGTTTCAAGCACCAACACTTTGGTGAACTTTCTATCTATTTTCTGTTACAGATATTCTAGCTTGATTTCCCATAAAGCTCACTGACTGGTCTTTCTTTTGACTAAATAGATCATATAGTAATGATCTATTTAGTCATGTAAAGATTACATCAGGTGATTTAAGAAATGTATTTACTTTTAAATGCATGTACTTTTGAGTATTTTCAAAAGCAAATACAATACTTTAAGCTGAGTAGATGTTTGACCAAGTAACTTTTACTTGTGGCTGAGTAAGATTTAACTATAAGTATCAGTATTTTTACTCAAGTACTACTGTTGAGTACTTTGTCCATCACTGATTGTAGGAATCATGAATTGGGTGTGTAGGTGGCGCAGTGGTTATCGCACACAACCCAGGTACCCGGGCCTCGACGCGGCAAACTTGGGTTCGAATCCGGCCTGTGGTCCTTTGCCACATGTCCCTCTCCCATACCCCCTTTTCTGTCAGCCTACTGATGAAAAACAAGCCACTACAGGTGCTGGTCATAAAATTAGAATATCATGAAAAAGTAGATTGATTTCAGTAATTCCATTTAAAAAGTGAAACTTGTATATTATATTCATACATTACATACAAACTCATATATTTCAGATGTTTATTTTGTTTAATTTTGATGATTACAAATGACAACAAATGAAAATCTCAAATTCATCATATCAGAAAATTAGAATATTACTGAAGACCAATAAAAACAAAGGATTTATAGAAATGTTGGCCAACTGAAAAGTATGAACATGAAAAGTATGAGCATGTACAGCACTCAGTATTTAGTTGGGCCTCCTTTGGCCTGTATTACTGCAGCAATGCGGCGTGGCATGGAGTCGATCAGTCTGTGGCACTGCTCAGGTGTTATGATAGCCCAGGTTGCTCTAATAGTGGCTTTTAGCTCTTCTGAATTGTTGGGTCTGGTGTATTGCATCTTCTTCTTCACAATACCCCATAGATTTTCTATGGGGTTAAGGTCAGGAGAGTTTGCTGGCCAATTAAGAACAGGGATACCATGGTCCTTCAACCAGGTACTGGTAGCTTTGGCACTGTGTGCAGGTGCCAAGTCCTGTTGGAAAATGAAATCTGCATCTCCAAAAAGTTGGTCAGCTGCAGGAAGCATGAAGTGCTCTAAAACTTCCTGGTATGTGGCTGCGTTGACCCTGGACCTCAGAAAACACAATGGACCAACACCAGCAGATGACATGGCACCCCAAACCATCACTGACTGTGGAAACTTTACACTGGACTTCAAGCAACGTGGATGAAGTGCCTCTCTTCTTTTCCTCCAGACTCTGGGACCTTGATTTCCAAAGGAATGCAAAATTTACTTTCATCAGAGAACATGACTTTGGACCACTCACCAGCAGTCCAGTCCTATTTCTCTTTAGCCCAGGCAAGACGATTCTGACGCTGTCTGTGGTTCAAGAGTGGCTTGACACAAGGAATGCGACAGCAGAAACCCATGTCTTTCATACGTCTGTGTGTGGTGGTTCTTGAAGCACTCACTCCAGCTGCAGTCCACTCTTTGTGAATCTCCCCCACATTTTTGAATGGGTTTTGTTTCACAATCCTCTCCAGGGTGCGGTTATCTCTCTTGCTTGTACACTTTTTTCGACCACATCTTTTCCTTCCCTTCGCCTCTCTATTAATGTGCTTGGACACTGAGCTCTGTGAACAGCCAGCCTCTTTAGCGATGACCTTTTGTGTCTTGCCCTCCTTGTGCAAGGTGTCGATGGTCGTCTTTTGGACAACTGTCAAGTCAGCAGTCTTCCCCATGATTGTGTAGCCTATAGAACTAGACTGAAAGACCATTTAAAGGCTTTTGCAGGTGGTTTGAGTTAATTAGCTGATTAGAGTGTGGCACCAGGGGCCATCAATTTTGAACCTTTTCACAATATTCTAATTTTCTGATATGATGAATTTGAGATTTTCATTTGTTATCATTTGTAATCATCAAAATTAAACAAAATAAACATCTGAAATATATGAGTTTGTATGTAATGTATGAATATAATATACAAGTTTCACTTTTTAAATGGAATTACTGAAATCAATCTACTTTTTCATGATATTCTAATTTTATGACCAGCACCTGTAGTGCCATAAAAACTGATAAAAAGAAAATATCACAAATTTTGTTTTTTGCCATTTCAATCTTCCAAGCAGACAGCAGTATTTTTTTTAAATCAAAACCCGTTATTATTTGGGACTGTTCATAATTTTATTTTGTTAGACAAAAAAAACAAAACATTTCAATGTAATGAAGGCCCCAGAGCATGACGCTGCAACCACCATGTCACAAAGTGGCCATTTTATTCTTTTGCTGAATCTCAGTGCTGTTTTTGTGGAAAAACAAGTTTTTTATTATCAGGCCAAAAGGCGTAATTTCAGTTTCAACAGATCGTAGCAAACGCACCCATAAGTTTTTAGGAAATTTTACCTAGCACCTGTGTTTTCTTTTGAATAAAGGGATGCTGCCTTGTAACTGTCTAGCTGAGGGATTTGGAGATCACTGTAACATTTCTAATGTTACAAAAATCCAGTTCAATACCGGCTGGATGTTTCTGTAGCTTCTGGAGGGTTATTCTTTACCCCTGTTTAATCTAACATTTTAAATAATGGTTCTGAATTCTCAGAAAACGACTTTAAATACATGATGCTCATGAAGAGAAAACGTTTTCACCTTTTCCGTCAGATCAAAAACAGACCCCATTACAACTTCTATAAACAAATGTGTTGATGGCAGCAGCAGATATTTTTCTCCAGATCATTTCACAGCAAAACAGGAACAAACCAAAATAAGCTACTATGGCAGGAAAAAAGGTAGAGAGAACAAAGTTGGGCACTTAACTAACAAATACTGCAGAATGGAAGAATAGATAGAATGAAGATGAGGGATGAAAAATGGTGTCTATGTCCTCCAGCAGTCTAAGCCTATAGCAGCATAACTACAGAGATAGCTCAGGATAACCTAAATCATTCCACCTAAAAGCTTTATCAAATAGGAAAATATTAAGCCTGGCCTTGAAAGTAGACAATGTGTCTAAAAACAAACTGGTAGTTGGTTCCACAGGAGAGGAGCCTGATAACTAAAAGATAGAATAAAGTAGAATCTCCTCCCATTCTACTTTAAGAAATTCTAGGAACCACTCAAGGGGGTAGGTTTCCTTTCAACTTTTGTAGGGACACTGTTGGTCTGATGTCATCGGTCCTATGCAAAAATATGTATGCTTGTTTTTTCAGGCTTGAAAATAAGGGTGTATTTCGTTTAAAGAGAAAAGCAGCATTTCTTGCTGCATTTATACAAATTTTATAAGCACTACACACACTAGATGCTGTTTATCAATGACTGAAGCTTAACTGGTTCTGATGAATGGGGAAATAGGACTTCTTTCCACTTTGAAAAGGTTTGCATTTGAAATTACCAGCGACTAAGACAGTAGGTAAATCTGTGCTTATTAAACAGAATATAGTCTAAATATGTCTGTTATATGTGGATTTATACTTTCTTTTATTTTGAAGATATAGAATTGTGCATAGGTAAACAGAGGTAAAACCCACTCTTATCTTTTAAATGTTCTCTTTGTATCATTAAAAAAAGCAAAATAATAGATTCAAGGGATGCAAAATAAATGTATTGTATTTACATGAGCACTGGAACTAGAAGAGGAACTGACACTGAGCATTTAATATATTAACTTCACTCTACAAGTTCTACATCTAGGCTGTAGTTACTCTGTTTAACTAATTTCCTGCATTTTATTAAGGGCTGAAACAATTCATTGGATTAATCAGTTATTGAAATAATGTCAACAAATTTAGTAATCAATTAACCATTAACTGGAGTATAGAGACTCTAAAAGATGCCTTTAGCTCACAGAGCGACCAACTTAGAGCAGGAATTATACCAAAATTATTCAAAAAAAATGTATAAACATTTTCCACTTTAGATAAAACATGTTTTCGTCTGTCAATATTCTCCATCCAGAACTCCTCTACTGCTGCAACCATGCTGTATTGTAAATTATAAACATGTTATTCACATCTAATTTTTAGTAGGGACAAGTAGGTCGGTCCAAAATTTTGGGAGGGACATCTCCCTATGGTCCCTACGTAAACCCACGCCCATGGCACCACTACTAAACCTGCAGAATGAAGTAGTGATTCTGGAGCATAAGGAAAAATCAGTTCCCTGATATAAGATGCAAGAGTTTAGTTATTAAGGGCTTTATGTGTGAGACGGAGGATTTTAAACTCTATTCTGGATCTAATGGGAAGAGCCAGTGGCTTGTGTCCAAAAATTGATGGAATTTTAACTGTACTGTTAAACATTAAAAAATAAGTAATAAAAGTACAGTATGTATGATTCATATGGTTTTCATATCGGTTCAGTATCAGTATCTGTAAATACTCCAAGCTGCAATATTAGAATCTGAAATGTAAAAGTTGTATCGGGACACCCCTATTCTTAAATCCAGATGACTTATGATAGATTAAAGCATTTTTTTGCCACCAACATTCAGTTCCAGTTAAGAAAATACTATCCTAAACATGTCCTCTCTTCTGAAATGTTTTCCACAGGTCAATTTTGTTCTCTTTATCTGCATCATTCGAATACTTCGCCAGAAGATCAACTGTCCAGATATCGGAAGAAATGAGTCCAACCAGTATTTGTGAGTATGATGACGCATTTCTCTGTTATTCATTAGCTAATATTAAGTGATTTTTTTTAAGTACATTAATGTCAAACACATAAAATCAGAATATCTTAAACAAACTTTTTTATAAAGCATTACTATATGATACACAGATTTGTTCCCCTCACAGTTGCAGCATGTTTGTAGCGCTTAGGGAAAATCAGGTGATAACTAATTCTTTCGGCCTTCAGAAAAGCCAAGCAAAACCAGCAAAACCCACTGACAGCTTCAGAGACGCAGCACTCAGTGTGGTCAAGTGAATTTTGTGATGGAGAGCACTTCATATACCAGCTATAATGCATGAGCTATTTTCCACTGACACTTTTAATGTTGTTTTCCTCCCATCCCTGGTTTCCTGAGATGAAATGTAAAAGGAAAAGTATGTCAGAGTCGCCTTCTTTATAAAGCAACTGATTAAAAATGGTTTTGATGGATAAAGCAAGTGGATGGATTTAAATCTACGGCTTTGTCGTTTCAGGAGACTTGCGAAATCAACGCTGCTTCTGATTCCTCTGTTTGGAATCAATTTTATAGTGTTTGCTTTCATCCCAGAGCAAGTGAAGACGGAATTACGGCTGATTTTTGACTTGATTTTGGGATCATTTCAGGTATGAAATGTTTTATTTGTGGAAAATTATAGAAAACGTGTATATTCAAACAAATGTCCAAAAGATATAAAATTGTTTTATGGATTCCTAAAGGGCTAAACGACCAAATAAAAATTAGAAAAAAAGAACTATAGACTTATTTTGTCTTATTATAACTGGGCCGATAGCTGAGGTCTAAGAGCAGCCCAGACAGATGTCAGTAACTTTAGTTTGTGGAGGAAAATTTTATAAGCATTATACAAATTAACTTACTAACAAAGAGAAGTTAAGCTCTCCATGCAATTCATTGCTCAGCAATGAAAACCCTGTTTTTTATGAAGCTCTCTGTTATTATCTATATTAATTATTCTCTGAAAAGGTCACTTCAAGCATCTGGTATGCTGGGAAGAGTTAACCTTCGTCACCGTGCAGACAGAGTGTCTGCAGTATCATGAGATTATGTAACATTATTATCAAGTCACTTCTGCACCATCTGTAAGGCACTTAAGCAGATTCTTTCCTCCCATTATGATTTGTTTGACTTGCCAAAAGAATCCTCGGCATGTTCTTTAACTATTAAACATACAAATATTTTAATTTGTTTATAAACTTGAAGGTGCAGTTACTTAAATAAAGCATTACGTTGTCACTGTAGAAATGCATTAATGAGATGTTGGGTAAACATAAGAAAACATAAGAAAGGATCCACACATAAAGATATACGCATCACCATCCTTTGGACTGTATGTGCATCGCTTAGGAGCAAACTTGTGTCATTTGATTTTATAGCTGGTGTTATTAATGTTCATGAGAACCACACATAAAATGCTTTAAAGAACCAAAAGTGGGTTATTAGGTCCTCTATGTGGGACTTCTTTGTGAAAAAGATTCCTTATTTTGATTAAACCAATGAGAAAATAGGATGAATGCTGCTAGAAAATAAAAGCTACGTTTTTGGGTGTTCTGTCAAAGAATACATGTTGTTCTTAATTTTATTTTGTAGTTGTAAAGGCAAGATAAACTAACTCATCAGAATATTCCATTAACATCCCATTGTATTATACTAACATCTGTTCTTTTTTTTCTCTAGGGCTTTGTGGTCGCAGTCCTTTACTGCTTCCTCAATGCTGAGGTACGTTGATTAAACATTGACACAAATACTCATTGGGGTTTCTCTGCTCCTTCTTTGCTTCACCATTTACATTCATATACAGTCCTATGGTTGTTAGAGGCATTAGGCTGCTCACTCCAGCAATCTTTGCGTCACTGGAGCTGTGCTCTGTAGTCTGCCTGCTAGGCGGGATGAAAATAAGAAGTGAGATATTAGAGAGATTAATTATGTTCTCAGTGCTGAGCCAGATTAAATCCCTTGATGCTACAATGTCTGAATAATAATTTGTACAAGTTTTTTTTTTCTCAACAAGAAAGTTAAGGTTCCTAAATTACAAAACCAAGAATAACACTATGGACCTTATTAGGTTGCCCAAATTCCAAACAACTTAAGTATCTTTATTTAATTCATTAGATTATAAGCTTTATTATGTACACCCATTTTTCTAGTACATTGTCAAGCAGTGAATAACTACTTAATATTTTAAAAGGTAAAAGGAAAAAATATCAGCTTTTTTTAAGATGGTGAGCAAAAGGCATTGTAAAAGTACACAGAAATCATAGTTTGGTGTGTTTTTGTTAAAGCTAAAGGAAACGAAGTGTCCTTTGTTATCTTGTGGGACAGCTATTAGGGAATGAGAAAAAGAGGATTCTCACTTATTTATTATAAATAACTATCTTGAAAGAAATAATATTTACGACTATATACAAAAGGAAATAAAATCCACATGTAGAAAAATCTCAGTACTTTTCTTGAAGTCCGATCAGTAACCGTACACGTGGCCTGGACAAAGTAAAAGCATATCTGCACTCAGTGAAAGCACCAAAAAATAAAAAATCATGCAAAAAAATAAAAAAAATAAGTCATGCTTGCATCAAGGTTTTCCTTGCTGAAAAACTGCAAATCTTCTGCCTAATATACAACCTTTCAAAGTGGGCTCTATTTCTATGATAAAGTGTTTAAAGCCACACCGTCTAACTTTTGTTTACTACACCTGTAACTTTCATGTCTAGTGCCCATAGTGGCCACAAGCGCCACAGCACTGTCCCAAAAGTCAACAAAGAGTCAGCCGACCAGCCTCCCATGTTTTCTGATTCGGGACCGCCCTAGGCTTCTAGGTTCAGCTTGGAGGGCATGAGGCACGTAGGGCCAGTGGGCGAGGTCCAATGAAGAGCCACTGGGTCGGACCGGGCGTCTCGATTAGCTTTTGTTTGTAGTCCACCAGCTTCCTGTTCCCGTATTTTGCTTCTACTAAACATCGAAAATAATAATAGATATAAGACTCTATACGAGAAGAAAAGTGTTAGCTTACTAGTCCAATACCAAGAAATAAACTCCTTTCCACAATCCCTTTCATGTTTTCTCTTTTTAGCCTCCTCAGAAGGTTTAAAGTCTTTTCTTGCCTCAGCCTTGACCAGTAGTTGAGAAGACGGAAAAATGGTAGTGCAAAAGCCTTAGCTCCATGGCTATATAAGAGCCTGGGGGCTTAAGGCGATACATTCTTCCAGGTCTTATGACCAGGCCATTGACGGTGCGTCTTCTCCCAACTTACAACTTACATACCGTAGTCGGAATTCCAAGAGGGGAGCCCTGCTCTTAGCATTGATAGTGTCAGGCAATGTATATTGGCCTGAGGAATAATTTAAATAACTCAAAAGCATCTCAACTCTTCAGGTCACAAAGTCTGCGGTGTGCTGGTCTAGTGTTTAGGGCATAGAGCTTGGAATCCTGAGGTTCTCAGTTTGAGCCCGACTGCCACTCTGGGTCTCTGAGCATGACCCGTAACCCCCTATTGCTCCCTTGGTGCCTATCCAGCGGCCATGTTCAAGGACGGCTGGAGTCTTGAAAACCTGTCTGCGCTCAGACTACTTTTCTCCTCGCGCAAATGGCAATGTGTTTTGACAGGTTGGGCAGAGAGAAAAAACCTCTTCTGTGAGCCTTCTGCGGATCTCATCCAACTTTTTTCCTACGACTGTAGGTTACGCTAGCTCCGGGTTATTCCTAGCCTTTTTTTTTTTATTTTATTTACTTGTGTCTGGATTTGTGTGTTTTGTTTTTAAAGATGCAAAAATACTGCTTAGACCTGAAGTGCAATTAAAAACAAATCATCTGAATTTGTGTATTTGTTTAAAAACGCAACATTATTTAGGTACACTTGTGAAATTTGTACCCAATGCATTTTTCCATTAAATCTGGAAATTCTTTATATGTTTGTATTTTTATTTTTTCACCATATATTACAGATAGAGAAAAACTTAATTTCGGTCAATAATGCTCTAAAAAATGTGTTTGTGGGTTTCCTTAATCCGCTGTAGGTCCAAGGGGAGATCAAAAGGAAATGGCGACGGTGGCACTTGCAGAGATACATGGGTTCAGACACCAAATACCAACATCCATCCATCGGCAGCAGCAACAACTTTAGCACCCAAATCACCATGTTGACACGTTGCAGTCCCAAAACAAGACGGGGTTCGTCCTCCTGTCATGAAGACCTGTCCTCCATTTAAGTCACAAAAACAGAGAAGAAGCAGAGCAACCTGTAAGGAAATTCTCTCATGGCAAAAACCCATGTTTACATTTATTTTGAACAAAAATAATACCTTCACTCATCAGTATAGGTAATTATCTGTGGTGTACTTTTTCACAGTTATCTTATTTTCATTTTTTTTAAAACATTTTTTATGTATTTTTATGTGAACACTGACAGGTTCATTTTCAGGGTCAAACATTTCTGATCATTTGCTTATTTTTTTTTTTCTATTCTGTCACAATAAATGGTAAAAACGCATAAAAGAATGTAATTATTATCTCCAAAATGTGAACTGTACCTTACCTGCTTAGATGTTATCCTGAACTCATTCAAAAGCACTTTGTTTAACAAAGAACTCCTTGTAACTTAGTTAAGCCCTAAAAGAAATAGAAACCTTCCAGTATTTTAGTTGGAAAATACTTAATATGCTGTTGTGTTGTGATGGTGTGAGGGAAAAAAGCTTTTTCAGTTCTTTAATAGTAAAAGAAAAGTAGTGGAGAAACTGATCAAGGGTTTCCTCAAGTGCTTTAAGCTCAAGCATGAGGACCAGTGAGCTGCTCTGAGTGTTTTGGAGCGCCAATGTCCTTCTCTGCACTTTCACTATTAAACACAAACTGGTTGCCTTCTTTTTTTCTATCAGTGTGACATTCCCTTTTTGGTTTGCCTGATCCTGTGAATAGTCTTTATCATTTCAGGCACCGACAAGTGCCTGCTTCCAGCGTTATCAAGCGACTTTTCACACTAATCTTTGTCAGCTACTGGGCTGTGTAGTGACCCTGGAAAGGAAATACCTTTACACAACTAAGTCCTTGAATGTTTACACTCGGAGAGAGTAACTAAATGTTGTACAGGCAAGTGAATAGTGTATATAAAGCTCTCTAAAGTCAGCGTGGATTCAATTAAACCTTCAAAAGCTACCAGTGATTGTTTACCAGCATAGGTGTTCTAGATTTACACTAATGTACAGGCTTTTTTATGTGATAGTTTTTTTTGTTTTTTTTTTTCAAGAGAAGTAGAAACTTAGATTCATAATGTAAAAGAGTAATTCTTACACAAAGATGCAGCCCTGATCATGCTCCAGTGGACCGACACAAGCTTGAATCCCTAAACCTCCATTATGTAAAATATTTACAGAAAGGTCCACTGACTTGTTAGATATAAAACGTACTGCCACTGGAGTCTAAAAACTGACAAGGCAGTCAAGAAGGCTGTAAAGCAAAGTAAAATAAAATGAGTTGTTAGTGTTGTTTTGTCATTTCTCAGCCAACATGGGTTGGACTTCAGAACATCCACATTTTCATGATGCAAGTTGGAGAATCATAGGCATTTAGGTCTTGAAAATCCCAGTTCCACACATTATCTGCTGGAGACAAGAAAATCTGAAGAAAATACTGCTGTCATTTCACCGGTGGGGCTACAGTGGCGTCGGATCCAGGAGTTTGCCCTGCAATAAAAGGGTTATCAGTTCAAATATCCTATTGAGAGATAGGTAAGCTTAAAATGCCTATGACTCAATCTGACCCATAAAGTATCATTCACTGCAGAAATCCCTCCTACTTAGCTAGCATGTTCTAAAAATTGGAAGATTATTTCTCTGAAATGTAAGTTTAAGGCATTCAGGTCTCAGTAAAACAAGACAGTGTTATTCAATAATAAAAAAGCTCCCCCCTAAATTGAATTATTTTTTTTTTTTACATTGTTTTAGTTTTGTATCAGGCACTTTGTTTGACTGAAAACTGGTTCACATAGGAAGCAAATAATATATCTTAGATCAAAATTACTTAAATTCCTTCATGACATTAGAACAAGAATTCTTTCTGACAAGATGTGTCAGAGATCAACCAATCTGGATTTAAGATAAACAAAGGCCAAACTGTATCCACTTAATGCTAGCCTGGACCAAATGTCATAAAGAGATGCAAGTTTTCAAACATAATAGCTTGGATAAAGTGTTACTCAATCTTACTTTTAAAATCTCCCCCCAGACTATGTGCTTTTGGAGTTCAAACAAAACATGAGCGAGATTCAGTGACACAGGAAACTGAAAAGACAATGAAAAAAAGGTTATCGGGTAACAAACCAAGTGATCTTTGGCATGGGAATCGGTGGGAAATTCTGTCCTTTATCCATTTATTTCTTCCTGTAAGTGAATTCCGTCACGTCCAGCATGAGAAGTATCTGCGACGGGACAGCGCTTAGAATCAGAATAGAAAGAAAGGTTAAGAATATTAGAATATTCTTTGTTGTACTTTGCTGCCAAACTGTGCTATCCTTCTCATCTAACTTTTATGGTAATTTTAGCTGGACTTCTAAATTAACAGGAAAATTTAAAAGCACTTAAAGCTTGTTTTCCTGTATAACTACAGGACTGGAGGTGGCTGACTAGAGTTTACGACCTCATAAGTGTCTCAGTTTCAACACAAATATAGAATCTGTAGCATTAAAACCACAAAAAAAAAAGCTACAGAACTTAAGGATTTTAGCAAAGATTTTATTTTTTGTTTGTCTGTGTGATGTTGCTGGTAGTTATTGATGTAATAGTGAGAATTTGCTTATATTTACCTTCTCTAATAACTTACTGCAGATAGATTACTACAAGCAGCTGTTTTTGTGATTCACTTTGATCCATTTTGTTTGTTGGAACACAATAAATATTACTGAGGAGATGTGGAAAAGTGATAGTGACTCATCAGATATTCTACGGTGTGCTTATAATAGAAATTGCTAAGTTTATTTATATGCTACGTTTTATATGTTTTCAATGTGTGCAATGCGTGAAGCTGTAAATTGACTGTGTGTATTTAACTGGTTGACAAATGTGTAAATCTAAAAACTGTGAATATTTTGAAATTTCTTTTTGTATTATCTTGATCATCCTGTTGTCATTTGAAAAGGTTTTTTTTGCAAAGAGTAACTTTTTAAACGAGAGATGGTAACATGACGATAAATGTTGGCATTGTTCCACTTAAAATAATAATAATAAAAAAATATTGAGACAAAAATTTTAGAAGCAAAGTTTCCTGCATTGAAATTGTTTTTTGTTTTTTTTTGACTCAACCAGCATTGTGTTTACAAAATGTTTTTCTTTTCTCCATAGTTGACCTGGATCAGATCCTGAACCATCTTTCTATTTGGCTTATTTCATATTCATTGGATGTTTCCTATAATGGAAACAACCTGTTGATACTGTTGTGTTTCAATATTTCAGATCCACTGTTTTTTTTTCATTTGGCATTCTGTCCAGATTTAAGTAACAGATGATGACCCAGTAAAAATGTTCCTGCACCTATTATCCATGTACTTAAGTGCCTCACCTGATAAGAATGTGCAATACTGTCAAAAAAAACAGGACAAGCTGTGTTTGTAACAGACAGATAAGAGGTCTGGAAGCACTCTGGGAAGCTCACAAAAGGAATTATCTCAGTAATGACTGCAATTTTTTTTTTTTTGTTGTTTGAATTGTGCAAAGGGTCGCAGTGCCCTTTGAAGACAAAACTATCAGAAAATACCTTTGAAATATGGTTCAGACTTAAAGAAAGGGACTGAGCAATATTCCATTCTGTGTATCAAACAACATGTTGAGTGGCATTTCTTATATTTCACCATACATGTTACAGTAGAGCACAAATAATATTATAATATTAGTTATTATTGCGTATTGATAGTTATTAGTTATAACAATATAGAATATTAAACTGTAAAAAAAAAAAAACAGCATTGAACCTGGATGAAGTAGTGTCATGTTCTGATGTTCTAGACTGTTGTGCCAGCTTACCAGAATATTATGAATATATTGGATAACTAGAACTGGGAGTTATAGTTAATTAATAGGTAATTAAAATCAAGGGTAGAACTAGTTTATTGTCAGTTGAATGATTATAACTCTAATTTGCTTACTGACCAGGGTACTGACCAGCTGAGTCTCGGCATATTTCAAAATGTTCCAGGTACTTTAGTGGACAGATTACCACAAAGATAACCTCATTAGTGAATTTCTGGTCTAGAACTCTTTGTGGTTTGGCCTTCTGGCCTCTACAGCACCTACATGATAAGAGACTTTGACCTAAAATGCCATAGTTAGACATGGTGTTCCCAGCTGGTAAATATTGCTCTATTTTCTCTGAGCTACACTTCACTGTGATTTTTGAACAAACCTGTCCAACTCAGTTTAATGAGATAACTTTTCACTTAAAGGCTTGTCTCTAAGTTGTTCCTGCAGCTTCAAGGACTATTAACCTCTTTCAATCTGTGATAGCCATATGAGAGACAAACCCAGCTAAACATGTTGATAAGGCCTGTACCCTTACCTCATTTGGCTTTAGTTCAAAATTTTCAGTAGTCCCATTACATTTAAACGTGGAGGTGTAATTTAAATGTGGAAGTGTATAACATGATTTAAAATTCATTGAAAATGTAACAGATGCAAACCAATGGATCAGCAGACATGACAAGCCATTCTATCGAACTCCTAGTGGTTATTGAAAACATTGACCCTGAGGCTAATATGCATTATGCTATATTCTGCAGTAAATCTTCCTATGCAGATGCAAGACAGAAACTGGATGGAACTCTTCTGGGTTTTTTCTTCCTTTTTCTTAGCTTTGAAACAGGTGTCTTGCCCTTAAGCATTTTTCAAAATTCATGAAACTGGTAAAATAATCATGGGGCAAAGAAGTGAAAGTTTGGAGAGTTAAGTGATTTCATAAACTCTGGCTGACCTGAGAGTGCTTTGATCAGCACAGCTGTTCTGAGATCTATCCAAGATTAAAAAAAAAAGCTGATGTTTAAAAGAAACATTTCCTTTGGTCAAGTTTTATTATTGATTATTTTTATCTGAAGATAAACTACAAAATACAAGCTGTGTCTGAGATCCAGATGATAAAATGTGTTACAAAAAAGCTTTTTAAATTAAAATAATTTTCTGCAGTCCAGTAACATATAAACATAAACAAATCCTTATCTGTTTATTTGATTAATGAGCAATGATTCATAATAAGTAGTTGTTTTTTTACCAGGTCAAAGAAAAGTCTGGAAACAGTCTGAAATCTATCAGAGCTACCTTCGGGAGAAATGTTCATCTTCTCCTGTTCAGAAGTCTTCAAACACTAAAGGACAAAAACATATCCTCTAAAGTAATGTAAAAAAAAAATTATTTTAAGTAAATGCAAATGCTTGATTGTAGTAATTTCCACGAACAGTGGTATAAGATGATTTACAGCTGGGTTGGTTTGGATTTTTATCTCACTTAGTAAAGACAAATATTATTTGAGAACTGCTTTTTGTGATTGATGATCTGCAAAGTATAAGTGTGGGGAAAAAGCAAAAAGAGAAGAAATCTGAAAGTCTTTCCATTAATCCACATACAGCGGATTAGACAACTTTAAGATCTTTCCAGGGACAACAGATGAAAAATAGTCTCTTGGCGAATTCTGGTGCATTAGCAGCAATGCTAACTACTGTACAATGTCCCTGTCAAATAAATAAATAAATAAAAAGCCAAATGACTGGACCAGTGTCACATCTCTTCCCCTCTTTCCACCTGTCCACAATACATATGCGGCTGGAAAGTTAGATCTAGAGATTGAAAATGTGGAAGTGGATGAGTGCAACCTGCTCCGGCATGTCATCACAAGATGGCTGGATCTGTTGCCGTCCATCGACTGAATGCTGAAGTGCTGGAAGCCTCTGACCAGCTATTTTCAGAGCCTGGATGAAGAAGAATGCCCTAAGATTTTGTAGAGGTGCTTTGCAAAAGAAAGCACTGAAGTCCCTGAGATGTCCTTCCTTAAAGTCGTAAGGAAGTCATATTGTCCCAGAAGTTAGAAAATTTTTATTTAAAAAAAAAAATCCTGTCTTAAAATCTTTTTTTTCCCCGTTATTT